AGGAGGAGGAGGGGGAGGAGGAGGAGGAGGAGGAGGAGGAGGAGGAGGAGGAGGAGGAGGAGGAGGAGGAGGAGGAGGCCGAGGAGAGAGGAGGAGGAGGAGGAGGAGGAGGAGGAGGAGGCGGAGGAGGGGAGGAGGAGGAGGAGGAGGAGGAGAAGGAGGAGGAGGGGGAGGAGGATGAGGATGAGGATGGGGATGAGGAGGAGGGGGAGGAGGAGAGGAGGAGGAGGAGGAGGAGGGGGAGGAGGAGGAGGAGAGGAGGAGGAGGAGGAGGAGGAGGAGGAGGAGGAGAGGAGGAGGGGGGAGGAGGGGGAGGAGAGGAGGAGGAGAGGAGGAGGCGGGGGAGGAGGAGGAGGAGGAGGAGGAGGAAGGAGGAGGAGGAGGGGGAGGAGGGGGAGGAGGACAAGCTAGGTGCGCTCGCGTCATATCTGACATCCTACCCCTCCCTCCCATCCCTTACCATGGCGTAGATCCCCTCTCTACTCGCACAGTCGGAAGTCGAGCAGGGCAATGCTCCCGAAAGGGTACGCGATGCATTGTAGAGCACGGCGTGGCAAGGCGTAGAAGAGCACCGCAAAGCGTAGTATGTCACAGCATGGCGTGGCGTGGCGTAGTGAAGAATTGCATCACAAAGCTGTGCAACGCAAAGCATGGCATCGCACAGCTGGCCCGAACATAACATTGCATAGCATGGCGTTGAAGATCAAAGCGTAGCATGGCATAGCACGACGTGGCACTTAAGCACTGCCTATCACAGCTTCGGCTGAAGGCATGGCATCGCGCAGCGGAACGCAACCTAGCATTGCATTGCATGCCGTGGCATGGCACGGGAAATGACGCCAGCGCTGCAGCGGGAGCACGATTCGGAACGAGCGGAAGCGCGGAAATGATGCCAGCGCTGCAGCGGGAGCACGATTCGGAACGAGCGGAAGCACGGAAATGAGGCCAGCGATGCAGCGGGAGCACAATTCGGAACGAGCGGGACCCGAGAATGAGGCCGGCGTCTCAGCGAGAGCAGCATTTTGAAACAAATGCAGGCGAAAACACAACTCTGGGGAATCCTGTGTAAAAAACAATACGCGGGGGCGGCGAGCACCGCCAACCCGTCATCAGGGGAAGGAGGAGAGTACTATTCATATTGAGTAATTGTGGAGGGAAGCCGCGGCCCGGCACGACGGCGCCGTTGCCGCGGTGGCCGAGGCCGACAAGCGGCGCCGCTACCCCGCGGGCGCCAACTGCCCCTGGCCGCTGCTGCCGCTCGCCTTAGAGTCAGGCGGGCGGCACGGCAGGGCGGCGCTGCAGCACCTCCGCCAGCTCGCCCGCGACCAGGCGCAGCTTGTGGACGAAGACCGGGCCGCTGCGGTCGCCAGCGCCCTGGCGCAGCGCTGGGGCGCCGAGCTCAGCGTCGCCCTGCAGCGGGCGACGGCGCGGCAGCTGCGCACCGCCCTCGGCGGTGACCGCGCTGCCCGGGCCGCTGGGCTAGGCGCCGCGGCGGCGGGCTGAGCTGGCGCCGGGGCGGGCTGGCTGCCCGGCGTTCGCGGATGGTCTGCTACCGGGTCGTGCCGCTGCTCGTCGAGCTCTGCGGGCGTAGGTGTGTGGTGGCGTCGCGACCTCTCTTGGCGCTCGAGGAGGAGGAGGAGGAGGAGGAGGAGGTGGAGGGGGCGGAGGAGGAGGAGGAGGAGGAGGAGGAGGGGAGGAGGAGGAGGAGGAGGAGAGAGGAGGAGGAGGAGGAGGAGGGGGTGAGGGTGAGGGCAGTAGGGAACGCGCCAGTCGTGCCGACGCGCCCCACCCGCGGCGCACGCGCCCCTCGCTCAGCGGACGCCGCCCTCGGCGGCCTGCGGAGCGCGAGGCTGGCTCGGCGCGGTGGCGGCGATCCGCGCCCGCTTGGCTGGCGGACCGCCAGCGGGCGCCCCGCGGGTGGCCGCAGGCGGCCAGCGGCAGGGGCGGGGGCCACGGCCTGCGGGCGCGGCAGCCGCCGCACGGCGCTGCCGTTTCGCCTCCTGGCCGAACTCGCCCTCCTCGGCGGTGCTGCTACGGCCTCGGGCGGCTCGCAGGAGGAAGGCGACCTTGTCGTTGAAGCTTGCATCCGCAGGAAGACTGCGGGGAGGCGAGGACGGCTTCGCGCCCGTGGCGCTCCTCGCCTCCCCTTCATGCTCTCCTGTCCCGCAATTTATCACAGGACGCGGGCAACTGTCTGGACCCAGCCGAAGGACCTGGGGGAGCCTCTCCCAACGGGACTGGTTCCCCCAGGTCTGCCGTCCCGAGGACCGAGTCGCCCAGCGCGTCCTCGATCGCGTCGCCCAGCGCGGGGTAGGACTCGACGCAGGTGACATCGTCCAGCACCTCGCACCCCAGCGTAGTGTCGGCGAGGTCCTTTGGCGAGAGCCGCTTCGGGATCAGCGGTTCGCACGGAGCTAGGCCGATCTCCCTCACGGATCGACCCGCAGCACCAGCGCCTACACGCAGCTCCTCCCCGGCGCTGCTGGCTTCCAGGCCCGGTCCGACCTGCTCCGCCTCTCGGATCAGCCGCAGTGGCAGCGGGCGAGGCCCCGATCTCGTCACCCCTTACGCTGGAACCAAGTTGTCTCCGGGTGCTCCCTGCTGAATGCCAGCCCGCATGATGCTGGGCAGAACTCACGGTTGTGACGGCGCTCGTGGCAAAACATAATCGGCTCTAGATACCTGCTTCCCTCGACTCGACAGGGCTCGATGCCGTGAAACGTCCGCGCTGTCCCTGCTGCTCACTGGCAGAGGTCTCTCTCCCTGCGATTCGCTTTCGAACACCGCGTCTGCTTCACGGTCGGATGGCGTCCAGCGACGCGAAAGCAAACTTTGGAGTTGCGGCGGCTGCCCATGGGGTCCGCCGCAAACGATGCCTTCCTTGTCGCTGTCTACTGGAGTTGCGGTGGCTGCCCATAGCGTCCTGGACTTAGCTTGCACTGCGCAATATTGCCCGTAAGGTCCCGCCCATCGGGTTCATCGGGTTCTGGCCCTGGTTGTCAAATTATGCCGATCTTCCCATGTGGAATCCACGCGCCATTAGTATTGGAGAAATGCGGAAATGCTCGGAACACTTGAAGCTGCCGGCAAGTATCTAGCACCTGCTGTGGGGGCTTACTGTACCGAGCAAGCGGCGAACCCAACGCGAGTGACAGTCGCGAGCGGCAGCCTCTGGAGCGGTCAGGGGGGCGGTCGGCGACAGGCCGGGTGGCAAATTGCCAAGAAACTGAGAACACGCCTGGCTGGATTCACAGATGGCCTATCCGAAAGCCGCGCGTTGGATACGCATGCGGAAGCCCGGCCTGCACGGCCACAGACGGGCCCAGCGCTGGAGAGCCATCTGGCCGGATGTACATCCAGATCTCGCCCAGGCCAGCCGCTTCCTGGCCATCGCTCGGACGTGCATTTCCTGTGTGTTTTTTCGGTTTCGTGCGTGTTTTTGTTCGCCAAATGGTCGAGGATGCTCCTCGAAGGTCCTCGCCGAAAAAAAAATGCACACGTCCGAGCGATGCGAGGCTTCATGTGTACCCAGCCTGTTGGCAGCTGCACGCAGCTGCTTCTCGAGCACCCGGGGCCACCGCGCGCGCCCACGCGGCGAGGACGGCGCTGGGCAGCGGGGCCAAAGACAACTGCACGCAAGACACACTTCGCCCCCCCCCCCTCGCCCCCAGCCCGCACTCGCCCCATTGGGCTACCGCGAGGCCGTCTACAGCTCAGGAACATGAGGAGGAGGACGACGACGACGCCTCCTCCTGCTCCTCTTCCTCCTCCTCTTCATCCCACTATGGTCTCGGGTCCCATCCAGCCAGGATGCTACTGCTTGGGTCGTGGCCACCCGTCAGCACTTCATCTGCCTCGGCATGCGTTTTGGGCGAGGGCTGCGGCATGCCGCTGCTGTCAGCGTCGCTTCGCTGCCACGCTCCGCTGCGAAGAGGGCGTATAGAACGCCACTCCCCGTAGCCTTCGTAGCCATGACGGCGGTGACATGATCCTCCAGCTGTCTGCACGTCCAGGTCGACGTAGAATCCACCCTCGACTGCAACCACCGCCGCCCCACCAGTGCCCCCCCTGAGTCCCATCAGGCTCGCGGTTGAACGCGGAGAGCAGGCCAGATCCGAGGCAATCGCGGATCAACTCGCGCAACGCGTCGCCGCGGGGCCACCACCGCAGACGCAGCGCGGGACTCAGTGCGAACGTCTGGCGAACGATGTCTTCCACCCTCAGCGGCGGTGCACGAAATCATGACCTGGTCATAATTGGCCAGCAATGTGGAGAAGGAGGGAGAGAACGAGGAGGAGGAGGAGGAGGAGGAGGAGGAGGAGGTGGGAGGAGGAGGAGGAGGAGGAGGAGGAGGAGGAGGAGCAGGATGAGGAGGAGGAGGAGGAGGCGGAGAAAGCACGGGGAGACGAACACACAATGAGAACAAGCAGGAGGGGGAGGAGGATGAAAATGGCGCACTCCTCCAAACTGCACCCTCTCCTCCCTCCCCCATGTCTCACCTTCCCTCCCCTCCCCTCCCCTCCCTACCTTCCTATCCCTCCCGTCTCTCTCATCTCTCACGTGCACTTCCCCTTCCCCTTCCCCTCCCCCTTCGTCCTCCCCCTCCCCCTTCGTCCTCCCCCTCCGTCTCTCCCCTCCCTCCCCTCCCTCCCCCATCCACTCCACCTCCATCTCCACCTCCCATCCCTTGCCCAATCGCTCGCTAGCACGTGGTCCCTAAGATGATGGGACCGTCGCACCGCAGCGATCAAAGAAGGCCCATTTGGATGTCTAGCTGGCCGACTTCGGCCCCCCCATCGATCGAGGCGACGCCGCCTGTACGGCCAGCTTCGACGCGCAAGAGCAGGGCAGGGGAGGGGAAGCGATAATCAAACAGAGGAAGAGTGGGAGCTGTCGGAAGAGGGGAAGGAGGGGAAGGAGGAGAAGGAGGAGGAGGAAGCTGGCGGAGGAGGGGAAGGAAGGGAAGGATGAGGAGGAGGAGGTGGTGGTGGAGGAGGCGAGGGGCAGCAGCAGGGGAAACAGCATCCAAGCGGCAATCGCTCTTCTGTCTAGCCCCTCACCGCTGGCCTCTCTAGCACAAGGTGCCCCCAGGCACGTCGCAAGCCCCTCGTCCTCGCCGCGTCCAGCCCGTCGATAACCTAACCTTCGCGCTGTGGGCAGCCCTGCACATGCCCACGTGCACTGGAGCTGCGGCCCCATACTGCTGATAACGATGCTGCGACGATGCTGCTGTTGGTGCTGCGACGATGCGGGCGCCGTCTGAGGATGCCTGAGGAGATGTCCGGACAGCTAGCATTGGGATGCGCAGGATGAGACTGCTGAGAGTAGCCGCGGAATCTCGTGTACACTATAGTGCACGCGTGCACCACAATGGCTGTGAACTCTGCAAAGAATGCGCGCGCCACAACGCTCTTGTACACCACAGGTGACCACTGCAGCAGCAGCTTCTGCTTGCACCACAGCGCCAGTGTACACACCTCTATGCTTGTACACGCCACAGGAGCCGCGTTCAACAGCGCATGGCGAACTTTTGAGCCACAACGCTTCCGAGCACCTCCAAAGTCCCGACGGAACCCAAATCTGGAAAATCGCCGAGGGACTCAACGTATCAAAGTCAAAATGTAAACTATTTATGATTATTGATTCTTCTGGCCCGGGGTACGGCCCCCCCGTTTGGGGCCGACCATGTCTGTGTACACCACGGTGCCTGTCTAGTGTACTCTACACCACGGCACCTTTGTAACCCACAGCTGCCCGAGTACACCGCAGCGCCTGCCTACACAACAGTGCCTGTGTACACCACAATGCCTGTGTACACTATATCAGCCACGCGCACCACAACGCCTGTGTACACGCCGATGCTTGTGCACACCACGGGAGCCGCGTGCACCACAGCGCATGGCGAACTTTTGAGCCACAACGCTTCTGTGCATCTGGAAGGTTCCGACGGAACCCACATCTGGAAAATCGCCGAGGGGCTGAGCGTATCAAATTCAATATGTCAATTATTTATGATTATTAATGTTCCTGGCCTGGGGCACGGTCCCCCCGCCTGGGGCCGACCATGTCTTTGTACACCAGAGTGCCTGTCTAGTGTACACCACGACGCTTTAGCACACCACAGCTGCCCGTGTACACCGCAGCGCACGTCTGCACAACAGCGCTTGCGTACACCACAATGCCTGTGCACACACCAGCACGTGTGTACAGTACACCACAGTGCTTGTGTACACTGCGACGCTTATGTGCACCACGGTTGCTGCTTCAGAACCATTTGTGTGAACCAGAACTCTGGCGCACCAGACTGCTTGTGTACACCACAGAACTACGCACACTTCCAAGGCCTCAGCGGGACCGAAGTCCAGAAAATCATGGGGGATCCGAACGTATCAAATCCAATATGTATTTTGGTTGTCATTCTTGATTTTTCTGGCGAAGGGAACGGTCCCGTTGTTTGGGCCCACAGCGCCTGTGCACACTATAGCACCATAGCGACTGTGCGTACACGTACACCGCAGCGCCTGTGTACACCACAAGGTGTGTTACACCGCAATGGCCGTGCACCACAGTGCTTCTGCACACCACCATGCCTGGGATGCCTGCGTGAACCAGAACTACTGTTGCAGCAACAATTGCGTACACCACAAAGCCTGTCTACACCATAGTGCCTGGGTGCATCACGATGCCCGCGTGCACTGCGCGGCCTGCGTACACTTATGCTTGCGTGCACCACATCGCCTGTGTACACAACATATCCTGCTCCACCAGCAACACATGCGTGCACCAAATCGCCTCGCTGCCTGCACACAACGCAATATCACGCAATGGCTGTGTACGCACTGCTCACGTGCACATCCGGATGCCGATGGATGACCTCGGCCGTCGTCGTCGCCGTCGTCGTCGTTGTCGTCATCGTCGTCGTCGTCGTCGTCGTCGTCGCCTTCGTCGTCGTCGTCGTCATCCTCGTTCTCGTCGTCATCCTCGTCGTCGTCGTCGTCTTCATCGTCCTCGTCGTCGTCGTCGTCGTCCTCGTCGTCGTCGTCGTCGTCGTCGTCGTCGTCGTCTCTCCCTGCCACTCCAAGCCCCAACGTTTCACCAACGTGCACCCAAACACCAGCATGCTGCTGCGCACACCACCGCGCCATTAAAGACGGCGCGGGCTCGCTGCGCCCCCCTTGGACCTACACAACCGTCAAAGTTAATTTATCCTTCGGGGGGGAGGGGAGGGCGAGCCCGCCCGATAATCCGGGTCTATCGCTGAACCCCAAAAAAACGGTCTCCAGGGCCCCTCTAGGGCACGGGAAGTGCACCTTTCGCCCCCCCCTCCTTTTGACGCCCCCCCACCACCCAACGCCTGGAGCAGGCCGCTGCGGAATAAATCCCCAGCAGCCCCAGGCTTCGACCGCGGTGCCCCAGGAAAACGCCGCCAGTGCACGCTCTGGCCGCGCCCCCTGGGCGGCCGCCTGCGGGGCTCTATGGCCCCGACTTCTTCGCCGCGGGGGGGCCAGGCCTCGGCGGCGGCGCCGGCAGGCCAGCGCTCCTCGCGCTCCACTGCCACAGCTGATCCTCGAACTCCTCCGTGCACTCTGGGCCCTCTTGGATGTAGAGGGCCCCCCACGAGAAGTTAGGGGAAGAAGCAATAGCATGAGCGTAGAAGCTCGGAGGCCCCAGCGAATTTCTTGGATCGGCGCTGGAGCCCCCTGGCGGCGCCTCCGGCGCCGGGTGGGTCCAACGCCGATCCGAGAAATTTGCGCGAATCTCCGAGTTTTTATGTTCATGTCATTGCTTTTCCCCCGAGAAGTACTCGTAGTCCAGAAAGAGCTCAGAGACGAGCGTGTGCCTGATGCGGAACGCCACCATGTCGCCCAAGAGGGCCAGCTTCCTCTTGGCATACCACCAGGTCCACCATGGAGGTAGGAAATACGAGCCAACAACGTCTGGCTCTGGGCGCCCATGCACGTATGCCGCCTCAACGAACCGCCGCCCCCCATCCTCTGTCGGCGCATGCCATCTCCTTAATTTGGTATCTTCCCAGGAGCCGAAAAAGGGAGGCTTGTAGCAAGATGCTTCCAGGCACCACGATTTGTTGCGGTCCTTCATCAAATTCGACTGAACATACCCCGGGTCGTGGATAATCACTGTGGCGTTATTGAACTGGTGCCTGCGCTTGCGCAGAGCCCTGCCGAAGCAGAGGTTCGCCAGTTTTGTTTCGTGGTACGCCCACCAAGCTGTATCACGATTCGCCTCCCACTTGAAGCGCCGGGGAGGGTCCAACATGATACGATCAAACTTGGCGTGCCACATGGCGTGGCTAACCATGACAACTATCTTGGCTCCTGGAGAGAGCTTAGGCGCCAACGATGCCATCAGAAGGAAATGGCCAATGTGATTCGTAGCCATAAGCGTGTCGTGCCCACTCTTGGACTTGAAATCAGACCTCGGCTTCCTCCACAACTCTCGCCGTTGTGCCTCGGTGATGTAGGCGACCCTGTAAGCCCTGGCAGCATTGAGGAATACCAAGTTCAGGGGGGTATCCTGAAGGCTCGCCAGAATGTCAACGACCAGACGCCGCACCTCGTCAAAGTCACCCAGGTCACCGTGCACCGCCGTCGCTTTGCCGTAGCCTCCTCTGCCGAACTCCTGGACAACGGAGGCCGCGTCTGCGGTCCTCTGCGGGTCTGGGCCGTGGACCAGCACGTGGGCGCCCAACATGCAGATCTCCTTGGCTGCCTCCAGGCCGATCCCCGAGGAGCTGCCCGTTATCAGCGCGCCCTGCCTCCGCAAATTGATCGGCACAAGGAAGTCCCGGCCAGGCCGCAGGACACCCGTGGAGGCCTAGATCTAGGCACCAGCACCAACCACAGGGCGATGGATCCACTAGGGGAAGATGATCCCAGATTTTGGTGCTAGTTGTACTCCTTGGGCCTCCTGGGACGCCCGAGCTGTGCCACCATGATCGAGATCGGGCTCGCCTTCCCTCGGCGGAGACAACCCGCCGATGCCGGTGCTGGTGCCATCCTCTGGGCCTCCGACATAGGGGTCAAAGAGGCCGCCCAGTGCGGCACAGCACGCGGCGGCCGCGGCCGCCGTCACCGCGCAGCAGCCAGGGCCGCGACAGCAGGCGCAGCCGCCAGCGTCCGACATGGGGTGGGGCGGGCGGTCTGCGCCACGGGGTGCGCCGGCCGTGCCGCGTGGCGGCCGCGGCACAGGGGTCAGGGCCACGGCGTTCGAGCGAAACCGGCTCCAGTCGCACACGATCTGGCTTATATAAACTCCATCTGACCTGCGACCCGCATTCCCCGATCCAGACCGAGTGGAACACAACCCTTGCGATGGTCGCTTCCTGGCTCCGGAGCTTGTGGCGCAGATGAGAGCAGAGGATGAGGTCGGGACGAGGCGGACGAGGAGGGCGATGAGCACGCGGAGGACGAGGCATGGCATGGGCTGAGGGCGATGATGAGGAATGGGATAAAGAGGATAAGGAGGCGTATCCTCCAGCTTGGCCTAGATAAAACCGTTCGTATTAACACACCCAAGGAAGCTGCACCGCCGACTCGTGCGTGCTAGCAACTGCCGGCTATGTCTGGCACGCGTGGTCGCTTTTGCATTGAACTGCACGTAGTTTCTCATGCAGAAGGAACTCTCAGCTTGATCCCCTGCTGAATGGCAGGGCTCCTCCTTTTCCTCCTCCTGCACCTCAATGTCCTCCTACTGCTCTTCCTCGCCCTCCTCCTCCTCCTGCGCCCTGCAAAAATACCATCGCCACTTTGGCTCAATGTGCTGTGCCCAAGCGGAACGCGAGGATACCTCTGATCCGAAAGCAATACGCTGAGCGCATTGGATGAGGAACCAATGGATAAGGAATCCAGGGTCTCGAAACCAGTGGAACTTCGATCGTGGATTGGCCATGGATATCACCGACGCCTTTGCTAGATAAGGAGCCCACCAGGATCTGAAGCCTCCTGGGCAAATTCCTCAACCAACGCCCCCACAGTATCGACCTCTTTCAGGCTCGCAGCGAGCCCCTCCGCATCCAGCGCCGCACCACCGTGCTTGCGTAGCAGCCAGCCAGCCGTGGGCGCAGACGGAAGACCGTGGAACCAGTACATCGCGCGCCGCGCCTGCAAATATCGGTGAAACTTGCGCGCGCGCCCGAACTACTTTTTCTGCGACGATCCACAGACCCAAAAGAACTTGGTCTGTCATGCGAGGGAGCAAGGTGCATGGCAAGGGCGGCAAGGAACATACCCCCAAGGCAATAACCGCTTTCGGCAACACAGGTGCTGCGTGGGATTCCACCGCGCCGCCCCGTCGCACGATCGCATCGGCTGCTCAGGCTTTCGCACCGAGTGGAGCGCACCCCGGCCTGGGTCCTGGTCGGGCAGCTCCACGAGATCGCTGATCGCACCGTGGCTGCAGAGCAGGCCTTTCCGCCCAAGGCAAGCGCAGACACGATTCGCACCAGGAGTAACAAGGATGCCAGTGCGCAGCGCAAGCTCGAGGAGGCCACCCACGCTCTCCTGGACGCCGAGGGCTGGACCCAGCAGTGCCAGCAACCGCACCGTGAGGCCCGCTGGACCCGCAGCTTGCCTTGGCCATCAGCCCGGGGCTGGCCGAGCCAGCGCCCAGGCCCAAAAGGACACCAAAACCGTCATGGATCTCGGCGATCCCCCCCCCCGATCCCGACGACTACGAGGCCGAGACCGCGGAGGCTCTGCGAAGGCTTGAGAGAGCCGGACCTCCGTGCGCAGGCCGAGCAGGCGGCACCGGCGCTCGAGACCACGCGGGCCTCAATCCTCGACCAGCGCAGTGGCCGGCAACGACAGAGCATTTTTTTTTTTATTCTTAACCTCGCCATCACGATCAGCTGAAAACGCGCCAGCGGTCGCTCGTGTAAGCGAAGCAGTTGCGGGAGCGTGCTAACTACCCACTGCAAGGCTGACAAAGAAACGGAGAAGAACAACGACGAAAAACGCGAACCGCATTAGCAGCGCAGGACCGCTCCTCAGAAGCCAGCGCCTCCGCCAGCCGCGCAGCCAGCAGCTGCTGCCGGCGCCGCACCCGGTGGCCCCCCTCCCCACGCCCAGGGTACTCCAGACCCTGCCGTCTGAGGCTCCCTGCCTGGGAACCGACGTCCTGGTGCCCCAGCGGGCGCTGGATATGGATATATTTCGGCCCCAGGGGGCCCGAATGTGTCCATGTCCGCCGCCTGCCGACGCTCCGAAAACTGACCCTCCAGGCGGTGGTCATGCATAAATTCCCGTCTCGGACTGCAACCGTCGATGAGGCAGTCGGAAAGTCTGCCGCTACACCCGGGCCGCGCCCAGCGGGAGGCCGAGCGCATGGTACTTCTGCAGAGGCCTTGGCAGAGGCGGTCCTGCTGCTGCTGCCGCTTGCAGTGCCAGCTCGGGGCAGCAACCCTTAGCTGCCCCGATGCACAACATGCAGCCCGCCGCGTGCTGACACAGAGCTCAGCACGTATGCTGAAGCACGTAGGTGGCGCGAGACGTGCACCAGAACGTGGACCAGCACGTGCCGAGCCAACACGCAGCGTGTTTTAATGCAGATGTTTTGAACATGGCACGTGTTGCGTTTCGAGACGGGCGCATCAGGGCAGCTGAGCGCTCAGAAGCCACTTCACCTCCGCGCAGGCTCCGTTCCCGTGCGGCGAAAAGGCCCCCCTGCAAGCACGACGTCTGCGTCGCAGCCTCGCCCGATGGCATCGTGCTGCAGGTGTCCGACGACGGGGTGGGTGACCAACCTCTTGGAACCAAGCGGTCGCAAATCTTCGGGGTGGCCGACCAGCCTCCAATGACCAAGTGGTCGAAGCCGGTGCGCGGCGTGGATCCCTCTCACACCTGTGCCGCGTGCCTTGGGGTGGCCGAGCCACCTTTTGGACCAAAGGGGTCGAGGATGGCGCAAGGCGCGGACACCTCTCCCACCTGCTCCATGCCTCGAAGTGGCCGAACCAGTCCTATGAAACCGAATGGTGGAAGACGGTGCAGGGCGTGGCCTCTTCGCCCACCTCTGTCGTAGCGGACCTGCTTGAGAGCAGGTGCACGCAGCGCCGCCTCCGACACAGATGGTAGATCCACCATCGAGGAATGCTTCCCCACGGATTCAGACCACGAGGTCGTGGATCCAGATAGCCACTTTGCTGAGGAGGATTACAGCAAGAGGATCGCGGGTGCCGAGCCCACAGGCGACGACTGCCACCTGCCCACCACGCAGGGCTCGACGTCGAGGGCGACATGCTGCACTTACCCCGCAGGAGCAGCTGACCACACCCCTTCCAACTGTGCAGCCAAGGCCCCCAAAGCCAAGGTCATGCGCACGCGCTGGACCCGCGCAACCCGCGCGAGCTCCTGCGCGGACTTCCTCCGCAAAATCAGCAACGTATCAGGAAAGTCAGCAGTCCCCCCACACGCGCAGCTGCAGAGGAATAGCACAACGAAACAACGAGCTAGGAGACTCCTTCCTGCGGCGCGGACTTCATCCTCCTCCTCCTCGCTGCTC